AGGTACTAGCCCCAAAACATAGCTTTAGCCTGAGCCTTAGAGCAGTTTTATTTTAAAGGCTTTCTTTTTTTAATTTATTTTAACATTTGCATGGGGGAAGTTTTTCAGAACACATACTACAATAAACCTTGAATTCCAGCTGTTCTAGTGTTCTGGATGACTTTTTGTTTCTTTTGGATGAAGATGATTTGTTTTACAGTAACTGTCCGTATTTTTCTCTCTTTCATTGGTACATATTTTGCACATACTTATACACCAAACTTTATGTGGTTTTTTGTTCTTTACACAATCATGTTTTTTTTTTATTATTATTTTTAATCACGTAAACATGAGGGTTCTATGGGATTTAATTATTCATGTATTGCATGTGTCCATTGAGAAATATCCAGCATCTTATAGTCAAGTAATATGAAATTATATATGAAATTATTTTACTATAATTTCTTGATCTCACTTTCATTTACCTAATGGAGGAAAAACAACTGTTCTGCAAAATTTCTCTTATATACAAATGAGCCGCCTTCTGAAAAAATGTGCTTAAGATATAATGAGCGATGGGAAGATACACAAGCCAAAGCAGGACAGAGGAAAAAAAAAATATACAAATGATCTTAAAAATCTTAGATATTGATGAAGACCTGCTGGATAACATTCCAATTGCTTATTCATCCTGGTAACTACTTTTTCCTTTTTGTTTATCCATTTCACTTAATGATTTTCTGTGTATTGTTACAGACATCTCAACAGTGAGCATGCGCTGGATGATAGAAGTACAGCCCAATGTAGAGTACAAATGCAGGTTGTACAGCAGTTAGAGCTACAGGTAAAATAAAATTTATTTTAATATTACCTCAGTATTAATCAAATCCAATTCTCGACAGCAATAAAAAATGAGTTCTGCTTTTCCCCCTATGATTGAAAACCAGCTTTCAAAACCTTCTTGTAGTAGTTTTAAAAACCGTCAAAAGAAACTGCAGCTTCATTTCCTCTTTTCTAAACCGTAACTTGAAAAGAAATAGGAAACTTAAACAGGCTGACTGATTGGAAATCCATCAGTATGTATCTAATGCTTTCGGGGGGGGGTGGGTGGGGTGGGTGGAGGGGGGCGAGCAGAATACGGTCCCCTTCATTTAGAGTTGTTGATAAACGGGGGAAATGGTTGATGTTTATTTCAAAACGCTGCATGACCTGGCTTGTTTGGTGGTCTCTCATATACTAATACTCTCCATGTATTATTATTATTATTATTACTACTATTATTTTTTGCCATTTGTAGCAAATATTTTTTTTTTAAAGTGCCAAAAGTGAGTAAACTGGAATATATTGAATGCGATGCAAAGATTTGACCTGTTTGTGTAACTGCCTTTCCAAATGCTTTTGAGTCCTTTCTGTGTCCCTGCACCTCGCTGCTCTGGCTGGGCGGCTTTGACAGTGTGTCTGCGTGTAGGCAAGAGGTTAGCAAAGAAGGGGAAATTAAAACAATGTTGTACATTATATAGTTACCAGCTATTGAAAAACCTATTTTGTATGCAAGACAGCAGTGTAGAGATATATGGAAAGCCTTGGGCTAAGTACAGAAGATAATTACATTTGGAATTTTACTGAGTTAAGTCATTTATAGCTTCAAATAGTTGGAGAGAAAAATCAGCAAAAACACACTTAAACTTCTTGTTGTTACTTTTCAAGATAAGCATTTAAAAAAATGCCTTTTATCTTCTTATCTTACAAATTACCCTTTTTCTTTCATAGATATTCCCTAAATTTTACTTTCAGGAACTCAGTGGTCATGACACTCTTTCACTATTAGCTGAAGCAATATAAACTATTTTAATACAAGTTTTATAAAAATCAAACTACCAGTCATAAAATATCAGAGTCTCGCAGAAAATGTTATGAGAAATGATCTGTTATTTTAACAAGTTTCTCAGGAATTAGGGAAAAAAAAATAATCTGCAGTCTTCCTGGTAAACTGAGATATGAGATAATCTTTTACCAAGATGCAGTAATATTCAGGCTGAGGGTAAATCTAGATTCTTCGGTTACAGTCAGCTTGAAAAGCATTAATCCTTCTCTCCTGCAGTCGCTGGGAATGGCTGTGCCTGGAACTACAGGAGGATGCCCTATGTTAACAGTTGGACAGGACAGAGATGATACTTGGTTACCACCTCTCCATAAGCCCTTGACAATATTTTTTGAAAGATTTATCAGCGGTGCATTCTACTAATTGTTATAGGTGACTCCAAGTTACAGCTTCGCACCCGTTCAGTGCTGGGGAATACCTCTTAGCTTGCAGTCATTGCATGGGAAGGCAGCTTAAGGTCCCCAAGACAAGAACGTAATTTCAAAGTGGTGTGAGGGCCAAAAAGTTCTGGATTTCTTTTTAACAATCCTACTAGCACAGCAGATAGGATGAACTGGAGGCTTAATTTAGACAGGGATGTTGATAACAGATTGAGACCATCTGTGCATTGGCCAGCTAGGATAGATGGAGGAGGAGGGTGGTCCTGCTTCTGAAATGTACCTGTAACTCCCCTCTTCTCCCTTTCTTTTCATCCTGTGTATCAGTCCTCAGATACTTAAAAAAAAAAAAAAAAATCTGCCTAAATATGTACAAGGATTTGTCCTCCAGCACCTAGTTTGTCTGGCTGTGACCTGTTTTTGCACAGAAAATAAACCAAAAGCCTGGCCCAATAGCAGGGTTTTCCATGACGTGGTCTGCAGCGCCCAACGTGTTGTAGCAAGAGCAGTTGGACTAAGACCATTGACCTGATACTCCTGCAATGGAGCAGTTACCAACAGAGTGGTGACAACAAGCCCTGTGGTTGATTGTTTGAGTTTTGTGAGCTAGATAGAAGAGGGACCCGTAGCCTTTCCCACTTGACCCGCGGTGCTCAGCGCTGACGAGAAGCTTTGCCTTCCAGTGGAGCTATGAAGTATCACATGCTGTTCAGGGTCCGGCACTATGGCAAGATCTAAATGCCGCACCATTTCATGCATGTACAGCCCCATCGAGACAGGGGTAGAGTTTAACAAATTCATTCCACCTGAGGGATGCACTTCAGGTTTTGAGTGTGATGGACCCAAATGCAAGTCGTCTTTTTTTTTTTTTTTTATGCTCTTATTTACTTTTCGCACAATAGTTTTATCAGTGTTGTAGACAGAGATAAGTGTTATGTCTTCTAAAGAAAGTAATTTTTAAATTAACTTTTTGAAAAAAACAGGTCAGATCTTTTTTGTGTTTGATTGCAAATGCCCCTTTGCAGAAGTATCTCGAAGCTTTGGTCTCAGCATTTCCATCACAAACATACTTAAAATATCACAGACAAGGTAGAGATCTTCTCATATTTCACTTTGTTTAAACCATCTTGACATGATCATTTGTTGCCATTATAAATAGTGAGAATTGGGCTGCTGGGTAAAACACAAACACAAGGAACATATCCCTATCCTGAGCTAGTTCTCAGCTGGAATAGGACATCCATTTTGCAGCACCATCTTTGAGTGGAAAAACATTTGAGGACAGCAACAAGGCTGTGAGAAGTTTAAAAAAGTATCTCCTAACAGGAGAAAATGAAGACTGCTGGCCATTTTCAGTGTAGTGAAAACACTGCTTGCGCCTGTTTTCCTAAAGCATCCATTGACACTCTTGAAAAGTGGATCCTAAACCTTTCTAGTGCACAGCCTAACTAGGCACGTAATGGAAGGGAAGAGGCTACATCTTGGTTGTCTCTTGCATTGCCCATGACTGGCTTCCTTCTCCTTTGTCCTTGGTCTGTCCAAAATCCTACTGCTGAAGTGATCTCCCCTTCCTGTTGGTGTGGCCATGTTGCTCCTGTTGAATGCCCTCGCTGGGTTTCCATTTTCACATGCCTGCTCCTTGCCATTATTTTCAGTCTGTTTTTCCTCCTGTGCAATTTCTCCATCATCTGTGCCTAATGCCTTCTCTCTTGCTCCTTGGTCGCCAGACTCCCGTGCTGCCCCCTCGCCTTGAGCCCCTTCTGGCCTGCGCTTTCTGTGCCTTCCCTCTCCTGCCTTTCCTACCTGTGTAGTTTTAGGTTTTAACCTCTCCGGGGCAAGGCATGTGTCTTGGTGTCCAAGTTTGCAAAGCATGTACCTTGCTCTGGATGTGTTTTCTGTTGAACCACAGTTAGGCACCTACATCATGGTTGTACCCCACAGAGGTGAGGGGAAACCTCACAAAATCAGGCTTATCATGAAGAACTGGGTGGCCATCTGAAAACTCCCACCATGCAGAGCTTTCCAAATGGATTTAAGAAAAAAGAATGAGGCTTCAGATGGGACTGTATTATAGTCCTCAGACCCCCTGTACAGAGCAGATCCTTTCGTACATGGCAGAACAGTCCTTGCCCAAGAGCACTATCAGTAGATCAAGAGCATTTTCCTGCATGTCTACTAATAATCCCCATTTCTGGACCGTCTGCACTCCAGTGGGTGCCACCAGTGAGAATTTGCTCCCATCAGTGGCCGAGCAAGCCCTCATGGCTTCTTTTGTATGACCCCACTGACCGGAGGGGCTACTAGTGACATTCTAGTTTTATACCACTACTGCTTCCTGACCTAAGGGAAAAACAGTTTAAAGAAATTCTTCAGATTTTTTTACTTCTCTTCAGTGCTTTGAAACTGAGAGACCTCTATTTTTCATAATTTAAACTCCTGCCTAACTGGGTGAGTGTTTGAATTCCTAGACTATGACAAAATGCTAGCGTGTGTCTGCCTGAAATGTCGAGAGGATCTTTAATAACCTCCATCCACCAGAAACGGCGTTAAAAGCATTGCTAAGATGATGAGTGAAAACACTACAAACAAGGACCCCGGCCGTTCGGAGGGAGGTGCACTGCTCTGTTTCGCCGAGGGGGCCCGGAGGAAGCGCTGCAGGGTGTGCCCCGCGCTGCCCGGGTGCCTTTCCCTCCTGCCGCCGCGCTGGTGCAGGCAGGAAGCTTTCAGGTGCCTGCCTTTTATTTATTTTGGCTAGAAGATGTTGTTCTTCTGCAGTAGCCTGCAGACCAAAATTTAACGCACAGATGACCCCCGCCAAGCAGCCCGTGCGCCCAGCGACTGCTACAAATGAGAGATTGCACAACAGAGCTGCACTGAGAGTACAATTATTTCTCGGTTTTAATTTGTTTTGTGTGAAGCACGGCGGCTGAGGGGTGAGACCTCTCCTTTCTCTGAAGAGGTCCTCAGAGGACTCTCAGAGGGAGAAGTTTCTGCTGCAGTGCTACGATAAGAGCCTGTCGCTGCCCTTCGGCTCTTCTGTGAAGTCCAGCGCAGATCTGGTGATGAGATTGTAGGAGATCTGCTGTAGGTGTCAGGTTTTCTCTCTTGCCATTGAGATTTTTGACCAAGAAAAGAGCAGCTGTTTGAAAAGCCCATCGATTTTTGCCTTTGCACTTCCAGAGCACACAGTGATGACGCCATTTTTTCCCTTATTTAATTCCTGTCTTGGAAAGCCATGTGCCAAGTTTTATCCCATCATGACTCCTTTCTGGCATGGTCAGAAACCCCTCGCCTTGCGAAGAGCAAGACAACCTTGACCGTAAGGTTATGAATGGGGATTTATGACCAAGTCTCCTTTTATATACACTTAGCCCAGCTTTACTGCTACAAACAGATGACGGTGATAAGGTGGGCAGGTTGTTTAAAGTTTTGCTGGAATGCGAGCACAGTTCTCCTCTTGGCACCAGGAATCTGGCTTGTCTAAAGCAAAAACTCAGCTCTGCAAAAATTGTCATTTGTAAGAACCTGATCCAAGTCCTGCTGGAAACAGGAGCCTTTATGTTGGGCATGTAGGTTAATAACACCCCTTTTTCATTAGTATTATTTCTTAATATCTTTCCACTGTATTTTTTTTGAAGAGCAGCTAGAAAAAGTCCTATTTGCACATACAAAAAATTTCTTGTTTCCAAAAATAATGAGATTTAGTGTCTGTCCAGTGCATTGAAATGCATTGGGAAGCCGTCCTGGCCAAGGATGCGTGCGGTGTGATCCCGAGACACCAGCTGTGGCCTGGTGCAGATCTCAACCAAAAAACGCAGGAGACGTCCAGAGCAGGAGCTTTGCCCCAACTCTTGGGCATGATGTGACCGATGAGAAAGGGCGAAAGCATCGGGCCTGTGGCGTTGTGTGCCCTGAGATGAGGGCTCTGGGGCGGTTCCTGACAACGTTAGCCTCTCCCACCCTGCTGCCCTCAGGCGTATGCCAAAGGGATGCTGGCAACTCGCACTGCTGCTCAGGGTGCCCCCGCTCGGGTTCCCAGCCTTGGCTGCCCAGAGTGACCCGCCGAGGGGCTGTGCCACCTTCTCAAGGAAAAGCAGGGCGTTTTCTAGAGCCAAGGCCGCCCGCCGTGCCCCACGGAGGTGCCTCGTGTGGTTTAACCACCGCTCTCTCTGCACTGCGCATGCTGCAAAGCCTGTACGTGACGTAAAAGCCACGGTCCATTTGTGCCGCTTGTTTTCTGGTCTGAAGGGAGGCAAACACGTCTCGGAGCCGCTGCCTCGCTTGCTTTCTGCTGCGCCTCCTGAGCTGGAGTGGGGCTGGTTAATAGACATGATTCACTGTTGTCTTTTAGCTGTCAGGGCTAGAGTGAAGCTCTTGGTGCCGGCAGGTCTAGCTCTTCTCACTCGAGGGCTAATGCATTTTGCTTTGGGAAATAGTGACACCCAGCACCACGCGTTAGCTTTACCTCACAAATAGACCGTATACAATTTCCAAACTACTCAGCAGTAAAACTCTTCTGTCTCATGCCTCGGTGCCAGCTGTTTAATTAGGAATAAGCAGAGGCTGGGTTTTATTCGTACGAGTAACAGAGGATATTTTTTTCCCCCCTTTCAGCTTGCAAAAGATAAAGAGCGCCTGCAAGCCATGATGACACACCTGCATGTGAAGTCGACTGAACCAAAAGCCACCCCTCAGCCCGTAAGTACCGAACTGTGCCGAAAGCAAACAAAACCTCACAACAAACTTCTCTTTCCTGTTCCCCACCGGAGCGCGTGACGCGAAGCGTGGCCTGCTGTGGAGCCGGTCGCGGTGAGGAGATGCAAAGCGCTGCTTTGCAGGAGGCACCGCCACGGGCACCCGGGTTTCGTCGTCCCCCTCTCTTCAGGGGGTTTGAAAGAAGTTTTGTTCTAAAGCTGATGCATTGGGCCTTTTTCTGGCCTCGCGTACTAGCCTGTAAGTCGCTTTGCATCAGTCCGACTCGCATGAAATCTTAGGAAGTGTTAGGAAGGAGATGTAATTAAATTAGTGTATTTATTTTGCTTTCTCCCTGTCTGACAGACATTTACAGTAGAAGAGACTCTAGCAGCACGTTTTGATGATAATTGCGGTTACCCGGTATCAGGTTTTAGACTGTTGAAACTGAGAAGGGAAACCTTCTCTGCCCCAGATTGCCCTTTAAAAAAGGGGGTGCGGGGGAAGCAAGTGGCTTTGCAGCCCAAGTCAACTCCTGGGTACCCCCAAAGCTGGGCAAATCCACCATCTCATTCCCTGACCAAAATGACTCTTCTTCAGCTGTTGTTTTCTCCCAACCTCTTAACGCTGAAAATGTTCCTCAGAGCTTCCAATGATTATTCAAAATGGAGAGAGTGCTTTGCTTCCTGATTTTAAGATTTGTAAGATTTAAAGGTACACTGGCTTTATTTGATTTTGCTTTGAGTCATTGTGTGAAAATTAATTGAGCGTTGACAATCTATAGTTAGTACTAGCAATTTTAATCAATATGCAATGATGCAGCATAATGACAAAGTATTGGTTTATCTGTTTTGACTGATTTTTTTTTTTCTATAAATAAAGCAAACACACACCCATATATGTGTGATTTATGGTGATAGAAATAAAAAGGAGTCAGACTATTAACCCAGCAAATATGGTAGCCTGCCAAGATGCAGTTGGTAGACAAAATTAATGTCTGAAACAGAACACATTACAGAGATAGAGAACATAAAATCATTAAACACTTCGCGCACCCATTTTTACTAGAAGAGGATTTCTCAGTTTCCATGTAGTTGGAAATAAATGGCTGCAGAAGTGCGTAGGGAGGCTAGTAGACAGAAAATTGCAGGCTATTCGGCAACACTGGAGCAGATGTCAAAGTCAACGGGAAATTTCGATGCCTTCTTGGAGAGAGTTGAGTGGTAGGTATAAACCCTTCCATTTAAGCTGTTGAGATGCTGAAAATGGCTTGATCCGGTGGATACCAGCCCTCTAGAGTAGAATAGCATTCTTCTGGTTCCTCGCATCCATCTCAGCCTGAATGCAAATGCTTCAGCGCATTGTTGGCAAAGTATGTAGACCCAACAGAATGGGGAGGAGGTTTGGTTTCTATAGCTCTTACTGGATTAAAAATTAAAACAGCGGAATAATCTGGGAGTCTCAAAGCACTCTGCCTTGAGGCCTTTCATAACAGCGGTGCCCCTCAGGAGGAAGGATTAAAAACTGAAGGGAGGAAATCGTAAGAAGGCGAGCAGCGTTTGGCAAGGCAGCTCGTGATCGATGCTCAGCTGTGGAGGGCAGGAAGCTTTTGCGGGTGTTGTAGGCTACGGAGATACCAGGCGGTGTCGCCATGAAGATTAGTGTTAACAGCGTTGGGGACCTCCTACTAAATTTATTTTTAACTGCTCTATTGAAAATTCTGTACCACTAGTCAACATTATCTCTCAGTTGCTCAGCACAGTGTTTCTTTATTAAAAGAAATAGGCATGAATATTTTTGACTGAAAAATTAATAGCTTTTGAATTCATACACAGCAGGTTTTCTTTTGCAAAGAAGTCCAATATCGCTGCACAGCACTTCTATAACCATTTATTTAGAGTCCAAGTCAAACCTTTGACAGCTAGAGCAGTGTTACAAGCCAACATAAAGAACTCCAAGATGTAAACCAACAATAGGCAGTCTGTGTGAGGTTTGCCATTGTCAAATACATAGATTGTTTGGATTAGTTTATGTAAATGTACTGTTGTATTACCCTTTGGAAAAAAAAAGATCACATTTGTGTATGAAAAGTGGTTTCGTTCACAGGCAGCATTATAAATTCCTTATCCTTTAACTTACATGTTAGAAGTAAAAATTGGTGCCTGACAGGCCTATATTGTGTGGCACTCTGTTGTTGGATTGAAACTGCCTTCTTTTCATTTATTGAAATATAGAAAAATTTATTATAGATACCATCTGATAAATCAGAAATTATTAAAATATGTATAGGTGAAGCATTTGAAAATTAATTATAAAATGTAGAAGTATAGTGTTTTGCATAAATTGTGCTTTCCTAGTGAAAAAAATACACAGGCGCTGCATAGACTGTGCTAGACCCTAGTCCTTTTAACTCAGTGGGATAGGACTTTGGTAAAAAGATTTTCATTTATGAAATATAGAAAAATTTATTATAGATACCATCTGATAAATCAGAAATTATTAAAATATGTATAGGTGAAGCATTTGAAAATTAATTATAAAATGTAGAAGTATAGTGTTTTGCATAAATTGTGCTTTCCTAGTGAAAAAAATACACAGGCGCTGCATAGACTGTGCTAGACCCTAGTCCTTTTAACTCAGTGGGATAGGACTTTGGTAAAAAGATCTGTTATAGATACCATCTGATAAATCAGAAATTATTAAAATATGTATAGGTGAAGCATTTGAAAATTAATTATAAAATGTAGAAGTATAGTGTTTTGCATAAATTGTGCTTTCCTAGTGAAAAAAATACACAGGCGCTGCATAGACTGTGCTAGACCCTAGTCCTTTTAACTCAGTGGGATAGGACTTTGGTAAAAAGATCTGATGACCATTATTGCAGTGCAAAGTATTCTTTACATCCAGTAATTAAATTTTTTTTGCCAACATAACTAATGCAAGGTGTGTGTTAGAATTAATATATTACGGTACATCGGTGATTTTAAAGGAAAGAGCGGCTGCGAATCCAAACATGGCAGTGAATTGGGATTTAAAATTACAGCCTTTTCATGACTGGGGAATGTTTTTATTCTGCTTAAAGGATCTTAATGCTTGTTTTTAAACTATTTTGTTACTGGCAGGTAAAATCGGTGACTGAGCGTCTGTGTTAACCACGTGCCATTTGTAATCCACGCTGACCGTTGGTACCGTCTTTCCCTTTTGGGCTTCAGGCAGCAGCTTGGGCAGGTGGTTTTGGACCGGTTGGACCACAGCCTTGGTGGTTGTGCATCGATTCAAAACTCGCCCAGCTTCGGGGAAGGGTTGCTTGTCCAGTCTAGCCACGTCCATCCATCACATCCCCACCTTCGGGTGGCTTTAGCTCCTTGCAGTAATTTTGACCTTGGGAAGGGCGGTGGAGTGGCCCGTACGTTTCACTACACCAGTCCACCAAGACATCTGTTCAATAAAGCTCTTTAGTTCTATTAAAGCCGATGAGATTTAAATATGTTCTTCCGTAGTGTAGTGGTGGATGGCCTAAATCGTTGGTGGATGGGTACGTACGCGGGGAGGTTGCCGTTGATGTCTGGTGTACTGCAAAGGGCAGCTCTTCCCTTGCTCCTGAGGAGCTGCTGGGCAGGCAGGAGGGGGCTGGGGAAGGAGACCACGTCATGTGCTGGGGCGGTGCTAAATGCCTTCTTTAGAAATGTCCAACTTTATGATTAAAATGCCCAATGGTGCAACGCTTTAAAAGAAAACAGAAGTATCTCACGACTTAACACTCGGGAGCACGCGAGGTTGTTCCTATTACTGCTACATGTCGTGTTTTGGTGAGACTGAAGGCCTGAATAAAGTGAGAACAAAGCTGTCTGTGAAGGAATATGCTGTGACACATTCTTGTAAGGTGAATTTTTTTCAAGGTAAAAAAACCTCACAACACAAAAGCCAGAACAACAATTTCTCAAGAATTTTCATTCTGGATTTGCTATTAAGATACCTTCCCCTACATAGTATTTTCATTGGTGTTAGTGATCAGCATAATAGGTTGAAATGGAAATGTGCTTTCTTTTGGGGAATTAACTTAGGGCGAAGTTCATAGGAAGGGAAGGAAAAGGAAAAAGCATCAACCAACAAGTAATTCTGCATACTAGGTGCTATGGCCCTCTTTTAAAAATAGACAGAAAACTTTTAAAGAAACTTTTGGCACTTTAAATAAAATGCACTGTTAGTTATCCCTTCTTTAATGTGTTTTTTACCCTAACCATAGCAGTTATGATTGTTTTGAAATACTGTTTTTAGCAACTGTAATAACAAAGCATTAAAAAAAAAAAAAAGTCTTTTAACTGTTGAGGTAATGACTGAGCATTTTAGCTGCTGTAGCCGTACTTTATAGTTTGAAAAAAATAACGATACGCAGCAATAAAAAGAGATTCTCAAGCACAACAAAAGCTGTTTTTATATACTGGTTTTCATTAAGTCTCACTCCTCAGCTTCGGTTTCCTTAGTATTCCTGCCAATAACAACACCTGCTAAGTGATTGCTGCCTGCCAGGCTCTGCATCTAATACACTAATGTGTCCAGGCTGAAACGAGAGAGGAAGACACAGCATTTACCAAAGTTTTAGGCGAGACTCTCAAGCACAACAAAAGCTGTTTTTATATACTGGTTTTCATTAAGTCTCACTCCTCAGCTTCGGTTTCCTTAGTATTCCTGCCAATAACAACACCTGCTAAGTGATTGCTGCCTGCCAGGCTCTGCATCTAATACACTAATGTGTCCAGGCTGAAACGAGAGAGGAAGACACAGCATTTACCAAAGTTTTAGGCCCAGCGTTAGCTTTCTCTCTCACCCTTGGTGTCAGGAAAAGGAGTCTCTGCTCCAGAGTGTTTCAGTCCCAGGAACTCGGTGCAGCTAAATCCTCAGCCCCAGCTGGGACCAGAGCGGCAGCATCCATCGCAGAGGAGTCACTGCCCTGCAGCGGTGGGTATGGCCCCACCGTGACACTTAGAAACACATATATTTTTTTTTTTCTTTTTTTTCTTTTAAAAGAATTTCAGGGGCTTTTTTATGTGCAGCCACTATTGTCATGTAAAATGTTTACACAAGAAGAAATCAGACTTAGCCCTAGTGGGAGAGCCACTTACTGGAAATCTATTTTATGGGGTGAAGGAGAGGGTTACCTCTCTGCTTTGTTTATATCTAAAGAAAAAAAAGAAAATGACTCAGTCTTCACCTTTAATAGGAAGACATGACTATTTATTGAAAGGGAAGGTTAATAATAAAATCCTAAGCAGGATATCGAACGCTGAAACAATTATGGTATTTATGATTAAGTTAAAACAGTATGAGGAAGTGTTCTCAAAAAACAAAACTGAACAAAGCACCCAACAAGGTTCAGTGATTGAATTTGCAGAATTTTAGGACCTAAAACTTGTGGGGTTTGGTGGTTTTTCTGTTGGGTTTTTTTTCCCCTTCTTGTTTTTGGGGGTTTTTGTTGTGTTTGGTTTTTTTTAAGGCTGGAGGAAATCCTCCCTCCCCCCATCCCCAGTACAAACATGACAAAAACATTTAACTCTTTGGTGCAAGGGCTGTACTCTCCGGCGTACTTGGAGAGTGCCCCGTGTTGTGCCTTACTGCAGTGCAAGAGTTCCTGCTCATTAAAGTGCTAACTCTGTGACTTAGGCTCCCTCCCCTCTGACAGCAACGATACCTCATCCAAAAATTACAGTATGTGGGAAACAGGCTGTGTACAAAACACCAGCGCGAACAACTTTTCTAATCATAGTAACTTGTTTTTAAATAGAAAATGCAAACAGGGAGAAACCGTGTTGAGTTTCCATCAGGAAAAGAAACCCTCCCAGCCCGGTCCCTCCCTGATCTTTGCCCTGCACAATCATCCATGGGCGCTTTCGCGTTTCTAATTGACGCCAATATTAAGATTTAATAGTTTACCATTCAGATTAATATTTCAAGATGGCAACAAAACCAACACCATTCATAATTTGTTATTCTGCTCTAATTCACAACCGATTTTTCAGCCTTCGCACTATAGATGCAACAAAGAAAGCAGCAGCGAGGGTCTGCGGAGGGAGCGCAGCCCTCTCCTCCCTTACCCTAGCTTGTGTTTTGGTAACAGCACCGGCAGGGATCGGACCCCGGCTGGAAGAGGAGAGTGTCATCAAATAAAACACGGAAAAAGGAAAAACTTCGCTAGCGATCGACAAGGTCGTGTTTCATTAACTTGTTGGTTCAGGCTCGCAAATGGTCGTCGGAGGTGAAACGCAGCACACTCGCTGCGTTCCAGCTTTTTGTTCTCTCTTTCCTCACAGACTGCAGTCATGTTTAATTTGGAAACTGGGCTCCTTTGGCAAATTAGCAATTAGAACAATTTTGTGGGAATATGTATATGTGTCATTAGTTTTCCTGCAAATTAATAGCGAGAGCAGAGGTCAGGCAGAAATTTTCCACTTGACTGCAGCTCCTCTGTTGAGATTTGGCACTTTGTTTTGGAACGGCCACAGCTGCTCAAAGCCACAGTCTTCCTTTAGGAACTGTCTTTTAATTAGTTTACCTCATAGCCATTATTACAAATATTACTGCCTCCCCTCCTTGAAATAAAATTACTGTTTCTACAAAATATTCCGGTGACATCTTGCACCACTGCACATTGATGGTGGGGTCACTCGGATGCAGCGTTTAATCATTAGATCACCTCCATAAGCATCTCCTAATTAGAGTCCTTACAATACAATTTTATCTGGTAATTAGCTGAGATTGGCTGCTTCCTCTGTAGCTTATTAGTGGCAGCCCAGCAGTGGGTGTGAATCACAGTGTCATTTGTCAAGCCTGTTAAAGCCCCCCCCTTTGCTCGTCCTCTTCTGTGTTTATTCCTAGTTGCTACCTACGCTGAAAAGCCTAAAGAAATTTAACTGGATTCAAATTCTTTAAGCAGGGAACACTGACCTTTGTGGATCCTTCCTCGCAGTTTCCTAGTAGAAACAGATTAAATGTTAAATTTTTGCACACTAAAAAGGGAAGGGGACTCTTTTGAAATGGAGTAGTTGGAGCCGTAATGATGAAGCACGAGCAGTGATCTTTCCAACAGGAGGGCCCGGCTGCCGAGCCTGCGCTAGAGACGGGCACTTAAAATTGATGCAGATTTGCTCGCAGTTATTGGACTGTTAAAATGTCCATTTAGAAACTGAGATAAAATACAGTAGATTTAATTTCATGGTGGGACCTGTCAGTTGTACTATTATCGCCACTGGTCCTTTTATCATATGTAATAGATGGATAGATGGGTAACAGGGAGACATTACTATATATGTGTCCCTAATCAGCGTCCTTAAATCACGCCAGTCAACAAACGGACCGGGCTCTCGGCGGCGGCACGTGGCAGCAGTTCCCGGCGCCGTGGGGGTTTGAACAGGCATGCTCACCTCCAGGTTGCATTTAGCGGCTCACGCCGGTGCGGGAGTCTCTGGGAAATCAATACCCATATTTCACCGCCTTTTGCGATCCCTCGCGGGGTTCGCGCTCTCCGGCCTCGCCACAAAGTGTTAAACATTTCCCGCTGGAAGGCGAAGCATCGTTTGTGAGCACCTGCACAGAAAGGTGGGTGTTTGCAGGTCTGCTGTTCACCACCTCCTTTCCTTGGAGCAGTGCTTGAGCTGCTGGTGCACCGTCGCAGCCGTACAGCGCCGGGCGTTTGTGGCCGGGACTTCCCTCGGCTTGCTCCGTCTCACCGTCGGGAAGGAAAAGCAATCGCAATTTATCCATCGCTCAGCTGTACCCTTTCTGCGGGCGATGGGCTTTTTCTGTTGGTATCCTTTCTGTAATATTAGAGCCCTTTATTTTCCACTACCTTTCTTTTGGATAAATCCTGTTATTTTTGTGAAGGAACGTTATTTGTGGCTGTTAGCTCACATGAGGGATGCTAATAGGAGTTTTCGTATCTGGTTACTTTCATACGAGGAAAATTAATACAGTACCTTACGGATAAGCATGAGGTGTTTGGGGGCATAGCTGAGTAGTGCGCCTCGCCTTCGTCTGAAAAGGTTTAATGTCCAGCAAAAAGGAATTTTAATCACGAACAAAAGTTGTAAAATTCTGGCCCTGTTAAATTCAGTAGGAATTTTGCTACCGACTTCAATGGGGTCAGGATTTCACCAATATTATTCACAAAACCGCCTAAGGGAAGGAAATGTGGAAGTAGTCAGAGAGCCCTTTTCTCAGTCGTCTTTTCTGATGTTGCAGTTAAGAGATCGGATTGTTTGTTTAAAATACTTCAGCAGGAGTGACCTATTGAGACAGAGCATCGTCTTTCAAAGGACGTCGTAGGGCAAAAAGAAAGGGTCGGGAAGGAATGTGGATGCTGGTTACATAAATAGGGTTGCGTATCAAAAACACTTGACTTGGGGCTGGGTTTGATACACAATCCTAGAGGCCGCTGTGTTTTACAGCCTGCTGTGGCAAGCTGCCGTTTGTCCGGGGCTGGGCTTCGTGCAGGTAACGCTGATGCCTTCCGTCCTAGGAGGAAAAAAGAGTGGCGCCACTTCTGCTGGGCTGAATGCTTGCGGTATTTCATCCAGTGTGATTAATTAAATCATTCCAGTGTTAACCTACTCTGGGCTTTGCTTTTAAAATGGATGAACTGAGGGGAAGAAAAAAAAAAAGCCCAAATGCTGAAGAGAGAGTTTGTATTTCTCCCTAGTATGTCCCTAGGAAAGTCTTGCCTTTTATTTTAAGCCTGATGCCTTCAATGAAATATCCAAGAAGACTGATTAGAAGCCATGCATAATGATAGCATGGAAATAAGAGATGCGTGGGGTTTAGATTGTGAAACAATGGAAATAACATCAAATACTGAACTGATTATGTACTGTGTGAGATCTTATTTTAAGGTTTAGATAAAAATCCACAATTTGTAGTTCTGGCAGCAGGCTACGTTACTCTTTTTTTAAAATCTATTTGGAAATGTATACATTTATTTCCCTTTACTGGCTCCTAATGGAGATGTTACAACAGCACTTTGTGTTGAAGCAGGCGCTCGGGCTGTGTTGTCTGCTTCGAACTGAGGAAGACTCCGTTACCGAGAATTTTCTCTGCAGCCCTTAGTTAGCCAGAAATGCCATTTGTAACGAAATCCTCGTCCTTCCCTCCGCAGCTGAATCTGGTATCGAGCGTCACGCTTTCCAAGACTGCATCCGAGGCGTCTCCGCAGAGCTTACCTCATACTCCCACCACCCCGACTGCGCCCATCACTCCCGTCACGCAGGGACCGTCGGTCATCACTACCACGAGCATGCACAACGTCGGACCCATCCGGAGGCGGTACTCGGATAAATACAACGTCCCCATTTCTTCAGGTAAAGGGGTTCTGGTGGCACAGCCCCTTTGGTGGGGCGGCTTGCTGTTGCCTGCAGCCTGGCAGTGGCAGGCTGTGATGATAACAGAACAACTGCTCTTATTTAGCAGATATTGCCCAGAACCAAGAATTTTATAAGAACGCAGAAGTTAGACCACCATTCACGTATGCATCTTTAATTAGACAGGTAAGCTGAGCCAAACACACGCATTTGGATTAGAAAAAGAATATCTCCCTATATGTGCACACTCTGGATTAAATAGATTTTCAAACCTTTGGTATGTAAGCGTGCTCAAAAGCTCAAACCTTTACTATAAGGGTTTTTAGAACTGCAATATATAACATAATTGCTTTTGATTAAGTATTACAATACGATGTGATTATTAGGAAATTCATTTCACACAACAGTGAAAATGAGCCTGTTTAAAGATGGCAAGTCAATTATCACAAGCTACAGTAATCTCTGATCCCTAGAATTAATCTGAGCTCTAAATAATTACTGAGCTTTAATCAGCTAGTGAAATGTTTTGCATTTCTCTTTGATTCTGCTTTATGAATGACTAATAAATTAATATTTCTGTAAGGAAACAGAAATAAAAACTCAAAACAATTAGATAATTCCATTTTGAATTTTGCCATTGAACTGTTAAATACAGCCATTAATCTTAGTTCATATTGTGAAAACCCTCCTTTGGATTTTTTGCTCCAAATCTCTGCTTGCTTGCTTCTTTTCTTTCTTCCTTTCTTTCCTTTTTGTATTTGGTAAAATAAAACTGTGAGTGTATTTTGTACTGGTGTGCTCATAAGTGATCTTGCAATTGCTTTGCTTCACAAGGCCATCCTCGAATCTCCAGAAAAACAGCTAACACTAAATGAAATCTACAACTGGTTCACGCGAATGTTTGCATACTTCAGACGCAACGCGGCGACGTGGAAGGTAAGCCTTAGCCCGCCTATGCCTCTTGCCTTTGATATCTGACATGTACAGAATAGACATTGCTGATGACATAACAAATTGCAACGACATGTGGACATGAGAATTTAGATCGGCAGTTTTGTCACACACTGGGTGCCTTATCTGCAGGAACAATTTGATATTTGGCAGAAAAATTCTTCTGCCTTTGGAAACCACTAATTGAATCCCCATTATTGGCTTTTATGTTCGGTGTTTATGCCACGAGTTCCTCTGTGTGGTTGCTGCTAGCACTGAAACTCAAGCCCTTCAGCTGGAACGTATTAGGGGGAAAAAAAAAAAGAACGAGGTAAAGTTATTGTGTGAGTAGAAGATACACTGTTTGTCTTTTTAGTTATGCAGACTGTAATCACAACAGCCACTTTTTTTCTTAGTGTCTGTAGATAAGTGGATTTCTTTCCTCAATCAATTGACTCTCAACTACATATACAGATCTGTTATAAACGTCCTTTTTTTTTTTTTTTAAATCACACAGCAGAAGCTTATTGAACATAATATACAAGAAGCAAGCCCCACAATAACAATTGTGTTTAAGAAAAATAAACTTGATATTTGGCACTTCAATTTCCTACCATAACCATCTTAGATATTGTTAGATAAGAGGTCTGGGGAGTTAATCTTATTTTATGTTTTGGGGGACACCCCTTATATATACCATTATAATAGCCACACTGGCTTCTGAAGCTAGCGCAATTACAAATGAATGAATCAAATAATAGGATCTTGTATCGCTGTAAAAATTGCACCCCTGGTACTTTGAGCCGCTCTTAATCTAGACAACTCGGTTGCTCTCAAACAACCTCAAATGACCAGGCAGGATGAATATGTCCCATACATGCTGTTTCATCAGCTCTTTCTGATTTTCCTGTCTCAGCCTGCATTTAGGATTAATTCCTTCAGAGGGTGAAGCTAAAAATGGTCCTTGGAAGTTAGCTTGGTTTTTAGTAGCATGTTTTGCCTTTAATTCAGATCCCAACGCAATTTTGTACATTTTTAACCTTGGTCTAGAAGCTCTTAGGTTCAGGAAAAGTCTTGTGATTGCTGCTTTGATTCTTCACTGCAGTTGGAAAACATGAGCAGTGTTTCACTTTGCAGCTTCCTTACTATCCAGAAAGGAAATTAACTTTCCCTGATTTAAGATCCTTTTTAGACCTGCCTGTCTTTTGCTGCTGGAGTGGTTCCAGTAGGACTTTTCAGCAGCTGCAGGTGTGGGTGCTAAAGTAAAAATCCTATTTAATTCCAGCAGCAAAGGGAAGGGAGGTGGAGGGGGGAGTGGAAGAAGGCAGCAGGCAGGCCTGGCCGTATCTCCTGCGAGGCTAGTTTCAGGAATTGGCTTTGTGCATCATGTAAAATCCAGTCCCAGAAGCCTCCTGCACTTACAGTGTGCTTCTGCAGAGGAGGAGGAGAGAGGCCGAGTTGCAGACCCTCGGGCTTGCAGAAGGGCAAGGTGTGTCCCGGGAGGCAGGTACCATTTAGAGACCCCTCCTGGATACCTTGACCTTGTGCAGGTGTCCAGGTCCTGCTTCACCTACCTGGGAAGAGAAGCTTCACCCCAAGTTCCACCAGCCCTAGCAAAATTGGCAACCGCTTGAAGTAATGGAGGTTTTTGTGCTGAAGACTGCTCAGATTTATGCCAGCCTTCAGGAACAGCGGGGATGAAAATGCAGCTCTGGATTGGCATGACGGGAAGCCCACAGGGTGCAGAATAAGCACAAGGGGCTAATTGCAGAATCAGAATAATTTGAATATATACGTGCTGATTTGCACTCACCTTCAGCTAATGCTTAGGGGGCATTTGGGTCAGTGTTCCCCAAGTTTAGGGTCAGGGTTTGGTATGGGCAAGCTTCCCTGAGCCCTCTTTCAAAAACACAGAAGAGTGCAGGAATAAAGACCTTTAAAAAATGAACCTCTCTCCCAAAATGCAGTACAGCAGAGCCTGAGCAGTTATTAAAATAACAAACCCTTTCATTTACTACATTCAAGCATGTTCAGGGTAATTTTTCTGCAAAAGTGGCTTGCATACAAATATTTTTAACAAGGTAAATATGTAATCTTACAATAATAGCTCCTAATTTTTCTGTTAAGCTGATTGCTGGGGGAGCACTGTGAACTGGTTTTGACAGGTCAGAGGCAATGTCTGTTTGCTTTTATTTTTTGGAGTAATTTGCTGGCACTGAGTTGCAGCCATGAGGCACAGGCTGCAGGTGTGGCTCCAAAACGCTGGGGTATTGTTCAAATAAAACTGTTAGATAGCAAGTATCCAGAGGCAGGGGAAACAAAACAATTTTTTTCTGCCATGAATTCCTTAAATAAGTCATCACGTGGAAAATAGAAAGCGAGGGCAACACTTCATGGACGTCTTGCAAATACTCAACTTGTCTGTCTCAATGTATTCAGCAAGAGCCCGATCCAGCAGCCTTAACCATCAATTGCACATTGACTTCAAGAGAGCAAGAACAGTCTGTAAAGTATTTCTCTGGCATTAAATTTATTTAAAGAACAACACAAATATTTCTGCTCAGCCGTGTATTTAGAGACTATTTACAAACTCTGAGGACTCACTTCGCTGAACTTTGCTGTGTGCATTTGATCAACTGCTGTCTGAACTACAAGATCAGCTTTCACTGGGGGAAATAGCGTTATTATTCTTACATTTTGCTCCAGACTTGACAGTGTTCCCATTTTCACAGGAAACTGGCTGAGTTACCCAGATGTGGGCCGGCAGCCCTGTGTCAGGTTGCACTAGTGCGGCACCCACCAGCAGTTGCTGAGCTCGCTGATTTTAGCCAGTAAGGTGTTGGGCATTTGCATGTTTTTCCTCCACCTCAAAATCAGGGATTTTGCCAAAAATTTCAAAACTAGTGAAATCTGGGGGAGGTGGGAGGGAACCAAAAAAAAAATCATTAAAAAATAAGAACAGAAGAAAGTAAGGGCAGAAAGAAGCAGCCCTGATGGACAGGTTGACTTTCTGCTAGATTTCTGCCTGGCTGAGAAGAAAAGCGTATTGAAGGTTTATTTTTCCACCGGTTCACAAGCAGATCAGTGTGGAAAAGCCAAAGCGCCCGGACCCTGCCACAGAGCCGGGATTGGGCACCTACAGCCAGAGGAAACGCGTTTGCACTCGAGCATCTGCTGAGAAAAGGCATTTCAAGCCCTGACTCTTCCCCTGTACTGGGGACAGGGGTGTGGGGACTGTGCTAGCGACTGCAGAGAAATGGAAAAGTAGCAAAAGACTCTTAGCCTTCCCCTCCCAGGCACACACACACCACTGCCTCTTAATTTACATGACAAATGCACTGTGCGTACCCTTTGTTTGCACAGTGATTTAGACATTCATGATTAGAGCTCCCTTTCACCATCCAGACCCGATGTTCATTAAAAAAAAAAAAAAAGAAAAAAAGAAGACGACGACGGAAGGAATAAAAATTGTAGTCTCTTGGTTGCCTAGACCCAGGCCATGTGTTTGGCTGGCATTGTGCCTGCTAACGAGTCAACCAGATTGACTAAATCAATGGTGCCAGTGATGATGGATGGAGTTTGTTCGCCTGCATATTTTCAGCAAATGGCTTCTTCTGTTTTCCCTGTTTACCAAGCCCCTTTCAGCAGCGCTAGGGACAAGCTCCATGTACAAATTCGAGTGGCTTTGTAGTAGGGTATTTGCTCAGAAAACTCCTAAAACGGGGAAGGAGCATGGCACTCCATTTGAGGAATAACAAGGCGCTTGGCACCGTTTCAGAGGGAGCAGAAACAGAAAAGCCACAGCTTGCCGTGATATAGCGAGGTGTCTCATTATGTCCGGCTTCAGCAAAGGTCCGAGCACGTCGGAGGGGTTGGCCGGGCTCATCCTTCCCCGGCACCCAGCTGCAGAGAGGACATCCGAGCACTGGATGCCATGAGCGCGGGTCCCTCTGGGTGATGAGCTGTGGGGATATTATCACTTTGTTTCGGAGAGCCCTCCTCATGTTTTCACTTGGCAGAGGCTCAGATCAGTCAGTACAGTAGTCTGCCAGAAATAGGAGCCAACTTCCATATAAGAGCAAGCCGTGGAGGCAGGAGTCAGTGCCGTGCCGGCCGGTGGGGTGCTGCCGAGCCCCCGGTCCATGCCGTGGGTGTGGAAGGAGGTTCAGCACCTGATTCGCATTAGCCCAGCTGCGGGAAACTGCAGCAACACCAGCTCCAGCGTGCCTCTGCTAAATTGAGCCGTCCGTAGTTACATGAAATCCTTTCTAACTGCTTTCTTTTCCAGGAGAGGACAAGTTTCTCTTTGCAGAGCGTATATATTTGTTCTGAAAATGTTTAAGCAATGTTCCTCTTGTGTTCTGTATGAAATGTGCTGTATTATACAACATGCATGCTTAAAATGATGGCTGTTCTCATTCACACTGGGGATAATTGATAAGAATAACTTGAATTTCTAATCTTGGGTTTAAGCTTTTATATTTATTTTGTCTTTGCAAAAATAAGATGTAAAGAGCCGGGGAAAGCAAGCGGGTGCGGGGAGGGGAAGGGGCTTAACATTGCAAAATGAGGACTGTCAAGCTGACTGTGCTGCTGTTCTTGGACAATGATGAGCATTTTCTCATAGAAAGTTTTTGAATGTTTTCTCTTTTATACTTGCTGCAGAATGCAGTGCGTCATAATCTTAGTCTTCACAAGTGTTTTGTGCGAGTAGAAAACGTTAAAGGGGCAGTATGGACAGTGGATGAACTAGAGTTCCAAAAACGAAGGCCACAAAAGATCAGTGGGTATGTCCACCATGTTTGAACTTCTTAGCCTAGCTTGGATCATGCTTACAGTTTAACGTAGAGGCTTTTGGCTGCTAGCTGGTGTTAGACCAACCACAGGTGGTTTCGCATTGTTTCAGTTAAGGGAAACCAAGACAAACATCTCATCACTACTGTTTGTATGCCCACCAGTACCCTGACCCTGCTTGCTTGGTGTTTGTTGCATCACATGCTAGTAGCTTTTAGGTGGCAATGCATATTAACCCTCACAAACCATTTGCTTATGCTTATTGCATTTTATTTTCTTTTTCCTTTTCCCTGTATTTGATGTCTGTTCTGTCCCCGATCCCGTGTCCCTTTGTTTCCACTTCATCTCCTTTGCTGCTGCTCTTGTCCCAGGGTGCCATTCGCACCAACCTCTCACTGCATAAGTGCTTTATCAGAGTAGAGGATGAGTTTGGGTCCTTTTGGACTGTTGATGATGAAGAGTTTAAACGTGGCCGTCATATTCAACGAGGCCGTCCTCGAAAATACTGCCCTGATGAAAACTTTGGCGAGCTTGTTGCACAGTAAGAGCTTTTACTTGCTTTAATTTTTTTTTTCTGCTGTTGCTTTGCTTTGCATGATTTACCCATCTCATGTAGACTTGCATTTCACGAAATAGTGACATCACCTTTGCTGCTAAAGAAACTAAATTTTGGTTGTTATGTGTATTTTGTGTGTCCTACTCTGATAATCCAAATGCCTGTAGTAATGACTCTACTTTGACATGTTTGCTATAGCATTTGTTTATAGTGCAATGTAGACTAAAATAATTATCCACGCTAGTGCAGATATGCTGCTGTAGGCCTGTCAGGAAGACAGATCTATGCCAGGAAAGGCTTCAGATAAGTTTTAATTCTGATATTTTCCTTTGCTTTCAGTTGTATGCCTTGTTTTGCATAGTGTAAGGTGCTTATAAGACAGAAATGCTGAATTAACTTTATAAAGTTTGAAAGTGCAGTGAGACCACCTGTAAAGATTATAATCAACAGGCCAACCTGTGTCTACCACAACCATGCACAAATATTCCTGGGGTTCCCAAGGCAATTTTCTTTGACCTTTACTCGAAGGCCATCTCTCCAGGACAACTAATCCTTGCTGGTCCCTGTGGGAGAGGCTCAGTTAAGACTCTTCTCACCATGATTTACTCCCACGTGAAAAACCAAAAAAAGAAAATGCCCAGTGAGCAATAAAACTTTTTGGAGATTTTTTGCATTGGCACTTTGTACCTAGTTTGTATTCAATGATTTTTTTATTCTTTTTTCCCCTCTGGTGGAACCAGTGATATTTAGATGCCCGCTAAAGAGAAAGCAGATATGCTTGGCGTTCATTTTCTTCAAATCCGGCCCCTTATGTAAAATTAAGGTGGCTAAAGTAAGGGTCCAAAATAGCACACCAGAATATTTTTTATTAAAACGGCCTTTAGGGCAGCGTGTTGTTTTGTGCGGTCCATACCGTTCCGCTGCGGTGCAGCAATACCTGCCGTCGTGCCTCCATGCCCACAGCCCCAAACAGTTTGGGGCGATGGCGCAGGCAGTCCCTCAGCGGGACCACTCGCCATTTGCCTGGCAGGAAAATCCTCGCTCGTCGCGGTCCCTCTGCTCCATTGCGAGGGACTCTGCTGCCAGCGGCTCGGAGAATAACGTGCATGAAGTAGTATTTAAAATGTCCCGCGATGCTTTCGATCGTAGCCTTCTCATGATGGACCTTTACATGGTAACTGGCTCCCAGACATGATGAATATTGGAGAATTTCTCCTGAACACAACTAAAATGAGCAGAGATGCCAAGATGTGCTACTAACGCAGGGTAGTAGAACACATGGCGAGGTAACGTCGAGAGATAATGATGTTCCTTATTTAGTAAAGGCAAATATGATAACTGTAGCCTAAAACTCAGATATTTTCTTTAAATTAAAAAAAAAAAAAAGAGGAAAAAGAGAAACGAGAGAGAACTTGTGTGGAAAAACAGTCTCAGCTCTAGTTTTCTGGTGTGGGAGGAAGCATTACATGCTTGAAACGCTCGCACAGAAGTTGGTTGCATTTAACTCTCCTTTTTATGTTTTTCTTATGCAGTAACCCTTCTCTTATTAAAAACATACAGACCAGCCACACCTACTGCACACCTCTCAATGCTGCTTTACAGGTAAGATTAATGACTGTAGCAAATATGCAACAGAGGCGTGTGTCTTCCCCACTCATTTCAAAATATATTAGCCTTGCTCTAATTAGATATTAAATTTTAATTCCGTTAAACTTTTTTCTTAAGTGCATAAAGCATCATAGTCCCTGGAGGCAAACACATATCAGGCTGCTTCAGCATTAGCTAGATGCTTAGCATTTTGAATATTGTGGCAAAAAAATTAAAAGTTCACTTATTAATATTTATCAGCAGTATCATAATTTCCATCCTCTTATTTCAGAATTTCACTTGAGGCAAAAATACCACAAGTGTAATTACTCTAGCACAGCTATTAATGTGCTGAATGATAGGATACTGCGGCACGTGACCTTCTATTGTTCATGGGTTTAAAGAGAAAGCAGATCATTTTTCCCCCTTTTCTTTTAAGGGCTATTTTTGCATATCTTCCCGTGGTTGGTAAAAAATAAATGTTGTAATTCCTACAGAAAAAAATCATTTTTATTGGTTTAAACTGTACTGTAATTGTAAGACAAAAATTCTGGTTTTTCATGATGCAGAAATACACAAAGTGTCGGTGCACAATTCATAACTTGCAGCCTAAAAGTGTGCGTGTCTCCAGCCCTTTTTCATGTGCTCTATATCAGGTTGGCATTTTTTTCCCCCTCTCTACAAATTCCTGAGTCTATCTCAGAAACCCCAGGTAAAGTCAGTATTTGCTATATGAACCAAAGATCCAAATGCATTAACGTAGCGTGAATTAATCCGGGAGGCAACACCGCATGTGGTTGCACCCCGGTTGTTTGTTGAGAGGCACTTCTCGAGAAGTTCACTGATGGCCATGGATATTTGCTTGGGCAGCCGCGTTTTGTGGAAGGTTTAGCAGACTTCTCTTTTCAGAACTGAGAAACACATTATTAGGAGAAAAGCAATGTTCTGCATTTCTTCTAATTAATTGAGTTTATGCGGTAACTTCTGAAAAGCAAATGAAAGCATGTTTAAATGAAGCAACTGTAAATACCATTCATTAGTAACTTATTTTCCCTTGAGTCTTGTGAAGTGTGATTTTTAAAGACTGCTTTGTCTCTTGAATAGTATTAAGATTACAAGCACATTTTACATTCATGAGGCTGAAAGGCAAAAACGAAATGATCCTGCATTTCTTCACATTGTTAACTATGTGACTAATTTCAATTAATATGCTTATCATACGGAACTGTTCGTGTTTTATTTCTGAAACACGTGTCGTCGTCGTCATCTCCATCCATTCTTGTCTTTTGTGATAACCTCCAAACTGTTTCCATTTCCCACTTTTCCTGGAAGTGGCACGTACTCGTGCCCCCCCATAGCATCGTGTGAACTGAGTTGGGGGAGAGAAGAGCCTGGGCCAGATTTGCTACGGCTTGTGTGGCCCCTGTAGCAAATGGGGGTGAGCGATATTCATTGCACTGAGACAGGTCCTCGTGTAGGCTGAAAATACACCGGCAGGTTCCTCGCTCCTCTCCCCCCATTGGGTTTTGGAGGCAGAATCCTGGCGGGTGCTCGGGTGCTGTATGGGGGTTTGGGCGAAGCCGTGCGGGTGGCCGGTGCCGTGTGGGCAGTTTGGACCTTGCTTGGGCAATAACCTTCCTCCTAGGACACAAGGCTGCTTTACCTGCCAGTGCCTACGTTCAGTCTAATTAATGGTTGACGAGCAACGTTCCCCTGGCTTTTGCGGGCATCTGCAAAGACCGGCGTCTTTGCACATCCCCATGAGTGCAGCGGCCACCTCTCCGCAGGCCAGGGGACGGCACGGTGTGCTGTGTGCCGCCGGGATGCCAGGCTGTGTTTTTCTTCTCCTGTGGGGTGGCAAAGCCGCCCCTCTCCTTCTCCCAGACCTCTGACATCTCCTCCATCTGTTTTCCCTCGCGGCCAGGGAGAAGAAGCAGCTCTCTCCCCCCTCTGTGTGTGGAAGGTACGGGGACTCCAGCTCTCACCAGTGCTCTCTTTTCCCAGCGGGTCGCCGGAGGCTCCCAAAACACCCCCCTCGCCTATTACTATCATTATAGCAGATACTCCTTGTGTCCCACCTCTCGCCCAGTAAATTGCTTTACTGCAATTACAAGTTATCACTATGGGTGAAGAACTTGAGTCATTATTTTGCCAAGTGCAGGAAATGTGAACCATTCTTTGCATCCCCTAATCACAATGAGTTTGCCGGTTGTTGAATCAAGAAGATAAAAATAATCCTCCCCGTTAGAATAGCTTTAGTAATCACGTGTGACACACAGGGCTGCACATGGAGAGGTCAATGTAAGGAAGAATAAAAGGGGCCGTGCTCCTGAAGATGCTGCAGTCAGGGCTGGTCATGCCCCCCCTTCCCATCCCATCCCATCCCATCCATCTCCCCCCCGCCCGGTCTCTGGCTGTGCTTGCCTGGGAACAACTCTGCCGGCTCGGGATGGCAACAAGCAAGGAGTTTTGTCCCACGAATTAGGAGCAGGCGAGAGCGTTCGGTGGGGAGTACGTTTGCATGAATTCCCCTCCCACGGGCAGGGTTTGCATCAGGCAGACCTGGAGTCTGATGGATTTTTTTGGCTCTGCTGCCGCAGCCGGCTGACTTTCCCCCGGAGCAGGTCGAGCACTGCCGAGCCAGCATCCGTGGCTCTCCAGCACTGACATGGCTCAGAGAGCTGCGGATGATGTCAGCCGGATCCGGCTGGGATGGGTGAAATGGTGAAATGTCCTTCGAGTCCCTGGGCACTACGGCCTTGGAAAGCCATACATCCCATCGCCACCATACGCTGGGCTCCTCTGGGGCTCGGGGCTTCTGCGCTCCCACCGCTGCCGTGCGGGGCACAGGACTGTGCTGTCAACATGAGCTAATGCTGACACACAGTAAATATTAGCAGGCAGAACGGTGGGAATCAGAAGGAAAATATTTAACAGTTCATTCTCTTCCTACAAAGATTTCCATTTAGAAAGTTAATGCCAGTGTGCCTCTGCATGGTATTTCTTTAGAACAAGGAAAAATCGAAATAAAATGGTCAGATCTGTAATAGCTAAGGTAAGAGCTGAGCTGCTGAGGCTTAAAAAATTTCACATGGACTGGTTCAGCTCTCGGGTAGGTCAGTGCAACTCGGGCTGATCCAGTTAGTGCTGACCACAGCTTCGCACTTGTGTCATGAGAGAAAAAACAAACTCGGTAACGCTGCCCTCCCGCTCGGTGCCTGTTTGCTCTGGTAGGCAGGAGTTATCAGCTGAGCGAGTTGTAATTTTTTTCCGTTTCATTAAAAACAAAACCCAAACCCAGACCCTAAGCCACAAAAAAACCCAAAACCCCAAACATAATCTTGCAAAATGAAAATAGGAAAAGGACTTTTTATTTTTTCCAGGGGGTCTAATTCCAAATAGGGAATGGAAAGCTCCGTCCTCTCACAAGCCAATACAGCTAAATACACGCTTAAACCCAGACGTAAATGATGTTAAATTTCCCTTGGTGGAATCAGGGTAATACCTATCAGAAAGCACAATATTTTAAAAAACGGTAATTGCAAATAATGTAAATGTGGAGAATATTTTGGAATAAGTGAGCGTGTTGTGCAATGTGTAAAAATGTTAGTCATGGCTCTTCATTTATTTGTTTGTGTCCTTGGCAGGCTTCAATGGCTGAGAACAGTATACCTCTATACACTACTGCTTCCATGGGAAATCCCACTCTGGGCATAGCCAACGCGATGAGGGAAGAGCTTAATGGTGCAATGGAGCATACGAACAGTAACGGGAGTGACAGTAGTCCAGGACGTTCCCCTATGCAAGCAATGTAAGTACGGCAGAGGTGCGTGCGTGGCTCTAAGCATTGTCTTACCGTCTGCTGAAGTGTGGCTCTGGAGGCCTTTGCGGTTTGTTCCTGAGGTTCGTGGATGGAACAGCAAGAGCAGACATCTCCGTTTGGGGACATGCTTAGGTTGATTAGAACATAAAAGGGCCGTTTACCAACTTCCACATGAAACCGATCAGCTCAGTGCAGTCTGACAAGCACACAGAGCTATAAAATTGTTACCGTGTTTGCAATTCTCTTCTTTAAACCTTGCAAAACCTCATAGGCAACTGCTTTCTTGGAGAAACAAAATCTGATGTCTCTCCCCTTCCGTCCACGCGACAAGCGTGCCGGTGGGGCAGAGCTGGGAAATGGGCTTGTTTGGCAGGTCTAAAAAAAACCACTCGATGCACAACGGTCTTGCTAAGCATTAACGATGGCACACGTGAAGGTCTGCGTGATTTATAGATTGCTCTTAAAATATCAAAAGGAAAATTAATAGGAGCATTATAGCAACAGACGGCAGTATAATGAGTGCATATATAACCACATGAAGTAATGGGGGATCGCCATCCCTGCTCAACGTGAACTGCACCCGGGCAGCGAGCTGGTGCAGGAAAGGGTAAGGCAGGAAAGGTGTGATGCCCTGATGGGTGTGTTCGGTATTTATGGGGTGACAGAGTGAGTTTGCAAAGCTGTAAATTCCCCCCTCCCCTCAAATTACATACTGGGTAATTGGCGGCTGGCGAGGAAGCTGGAGTTTATAAGTCTTGTAGTTCTCTAAAAACTCTACGGAGCGGTTGGCTACTTGTGCGAGTGACCGCGTGCGAGGGCCGCGCTGCCTTTCTTCTGCCTGTTCCTTAAAATGGGCTGTAAAATTACTGGCTGACTTGCCACGGCTCACATTACGCATTAAAAAGAGAACTAATTTGTAGTCTTTTACTTCAAAGTAATTTGAATAAGGGATTTACAAAAGTAAGTCTAAATCAAAAAGTAGAAAAACATTAACCTAATACCACGATAGTAATTAGTTGTGAAACTAATTAGCATTTAATGGCAAAAAAGTTTCCCACCTGCATAATGTGTTATCAGAAGGGAGGGGGCACGAAGGAATCTGAGGCTCTGGATACTTTGATATTGCAGCATTTTAAATCGGTGCACAAAGTGCTTTGGGGAAAAAAAAAAAGCTTTAAAGATGGCAACGTACATTTTTAATTAATAATTAATTTAAACATTGTCTTTTACCATTTACTTCAAAACATTCAAATAATGTGTTTAGCTTTTCCAGTGATTGTTTGTGCAGTATTAATTATCTCTCCCAAAGTAGCGTTGCATGACACACTTTCCGTCTCTCACAAACGGGTTCATCTTGAGGCAGTTTTAGTCACAATTTGTTATCCTCTGCCTGTGACCACGTAGGGCCGGCGTGAGGCAGGAGCGGAGGGACGTGACTTTTCTCCAGCAACAAGACTTCTCCCAAGGGTTTCTCCTGGCCTAACAGACAGGGATGAATGTTTATGATGTTGCGTTAATCCAAGTAATTATGTTTTTGCAAGTTCAAGGCCAGCGTAGTTCATGCACTTCTCATTTCACCTAAGGTTTCGTTGTCTTTGAAGAGACTGCGAGGAAGGAAAAATAAGGGAGTTAAAACAGGCTAGGACATCTTCCAGAACTGTGCATAGCCGTGGCCTTTGTTGCACTTAATAATCATCTCTTAGCATATTGATACCAAGGTGAGGGGCACAGAACAAATACTGGAGAGAGAGGAGGACAGGGGGAGGGATGCCTCATTTTCATTATTCACCAGAAAATCCAATTTTCTGTTGTAATATGGAAATGATTGTTTCCTGAGTGTTTTCATTTTCTCAGAACTGATAATATATGTGTTCTCTGCTGAACATTTCTTTTTGCTTAAGTAAAATGTGGCTGGGTGATGTTCCAATACCAGCCTCTGAGCTTCCCCATTAAAATGGTGTTTCTAAGTAGTTTGAAGGGATCTAAAGCCAGAACACCATTCACACGTCGCGGGGTTTACCCTGTTTACCAAATAAAATCATGAGTCAACAGCAGATTTCCAGATGCCGTGCAGCCTCTTATTTTCTGTAAGCCTGCTTTGTTAATGACATTCTCAGTTTTTTTCTCAGAACAGATTTCCTTGTCATGATGCAAATTATTTTTTAAACAATTTCAGTATATTAGAATAAATCAAGCTTTAAACTTTATTGTAAGGTTTAAAGGACCTTGTTAACATGACAGCTAAGAAGTCTAACACTTCAGCTGAAGTCTTATTACTGCTCATTCGTTTCCTTTTTATGACACATTGAACCACGGCTAGGGTTGGGTTTTTTTTTCCCTTCTCTCTGCCTCCTTTTGAAACACTAGAAAGTAGTCGCATAATTACAGCTTGAGGACATAACACTTTCATCCTGATATGCTCCAAAGGTAGCCACAAAGCAAACTACTCCATGCTGTGTGCACCACCAGAACTCAGTGGCTTTAAACAACAGTCAGCTTTATTAAAAACTCCTCTGTTCCCAGAGTGGACAAACAAAAGAATTACTCAGTTGTGAAAAGAAGGGGAATCTGTGTTCAGCAAGGTTATTTATTGTTAACCCCTTCTGGAGTCTTAGGCGTCTACTTAAAAGGAATGTGCTGAAATTCTGCTACTCTAAAGAAGAAATAGGAAACCCTTTCCTTCCCCCCCTCACCCCCCCGCTTTTCTTTTTGCCTAGCCCAGCATTTACCTTTTCTGTAATTCAAGAGACTGAATTCTTTAGTCTCTAAAGGAAGTTTTCCTTCCCCGGTTTGGGGTTTGGGTGAGGTGGTAAATACAGATTCAGACTTACTTGAGGGAGACGAAGGTCTCCCTTTGCCTTTGAGCTTATTTAAGCTTACTTATTTCAGTTGCTCTGAAATGTTTGAGTAAAATCACGGATTCAGTAAGGTTTCCTCCTCACACACCACTTTGTGGTGTCAACTGGCACAAGGAGTTGAATTTTTTGTCGTCGTCGTTTTCCATGCAGATCTCTCCCCAGGGGGTTGTATTACCCAGATAACCCTCCTAATTTGGGGGATGGAGTTTTTGCCAAGCTCACTGTCTGACGTTTGTCCAACACGTGAGCTGCTGGAGGAGGCTGGCGTGGCTGTGCCTCCCCGTGGCTTTGTGGCCCTCTCCGGCTTTGTCTCGCTCGGGGTCAGGCAGCCCTTTTCATAACTTGGTGCTTGCTTTGCTTTTCACTCCTGAAGGTATGTTTTTTTCGATTTCTGGGAACCACACCAAACCTCAAAGAGAAACTCAGTTAAAACCACCTGGTTTCACCTGCTTTCATAACAAAACCAGAAGGGGGGCAGAGCTTGCTTTGGAAAGGTTCGGGGGCCTTTGAAGGAACTTTCACAGCATTTCGGGTGGTTGTGAGCGCAGCAGGTACCTCTCTTATCTGCCGGCCCCCGTTCACTTCTGCCCTCTGGCCGAGCACGAGGCGGTGCGGGGATGCGGTGGGACACGGAGACGTGGCCCCTGAGCAGCCTTTGGAGAAACTCCCGTCCATGTGCTGAGGCCACCTCTGCTGCACGTGACATGCGTTCTCCTCTCTCCTTTGAAAATTTCCCATCTGCGTTTTCAAAAATAATACTTCAAAAAGAAAAACCAACCAAAAATAAGCCCAGCAGCAGCATCAAAACCAGAAGGCCAACAAGCAAGTCCTTTAAATTAAAACAGCAGTAAAAAAGATCACTGCCATAAAGGCCGAGTAGCACACGCTTTATCGGTCTCTATGTGTAGCCGCTCTTCCCCCCTTTTTCTTCTGGTTTTCATTTTATGTTTTCTCCCAAGTGAGGCCCCCACAGCCCATTCATAATATAAGTTTTTCTAGTTGCAAATAATCAGCATGGTTTCATGTTGGCTCAGGCCACGAGCTGCCGGGAGGGTTAGCACATGCACACCTCTGAGATGACGATCTGTTTGCGAGACTTTTTATATGCTTATGCTAATTCTTAACCTCTGATATTTGAATCGTCTCCTCCCAGGTTTTTTTTTACCCCCCCTTTTTCAATAATTAGGTCAAAATTGTGTGAGCAATGTCTCTCTCCTTGTAATTTTTGCAAAAATTACACGACATGCAGAAGAACCTCTTTGCTCCCAGGGATGTGTTGATAGGACACGTATTTGTGAATTTGAAGGGAAAAGGTGTGTGTACGTGGATGCTGCATCACTTCTCCCCACCGTTCCTTTGTTGGATGGGCTGGAAGGTGCAGTTAATACTTGAGTATCGATCTAGCACTTTACAACTCAAGAAGTTGAAATATGCAGGGACTTGAAAGGCATTCACAGCTCATGTTAAAAATGTGTGTAGTCAGCAAGTTAGATGCTTCCTAAACAGATCCAGGCTCAAGCCGAAATAAATAAATAGGGTGCGATACAGCTTTGCACACTATACAAGCGTACAACTGCTTCACCCTGGTCACTTGAAATAGGCAGGGTTACCTTCGGCTCGTACGTGGATACTGAGTACCTTTTCCCTGGCTGGTGATTTATTCTTGCTGTCCGTCAGTGCAATGGAGTACAAACAGTATTGTCGTTCCTATCCACACAAAACATAAAATAAAATGCAGCTATTTTAAATCATTCATTTCAAAGCAAAGCTGTGCAAGGAGAGAAGTTGTTCTTACAAATGAAGGTTCGCACTTCGGGTTATGTTTTCACGTAGCCTACATGAAAGGGTTAAATCAGCCTGCATGGAGAAAAAACGAGACTCTAGGAGGTGGATATCAACTCAATGAGAGACAGAGTGGGACTTGAACTCATTAACACTTTATTTTAAGGGATTGCCTACAACATCAATTATTTAGGAAGCAAACAGGGTCTCCATTGCTGTGTCGCATTATTAATACTTGGTAATGTCAATAAAATCCTACTTTCCTATAAAGTCCCACCAACAAGACACTATTGACTCACATGGCTATTTTACATTTCAAAAGCTGCCGAACAAAAAAAAAAAAAAAAAGGGTAATTTGTATTTGTATAGGATTTGTTGTAAATATGATTTACGAACAACATTTTTCAATTGTTATCATACCCGTTTTGAATGACCAAGCCCCGTTCCCCTGCGGGTTATTCACGTGCTATGCCGTAATGAGAAATTTGGCAGATCTCATCTCTTTAGTACATCCTTGTGCCCACCATGAGCTGGGGATCATGTTCTGCCTTGTTTACAGCTGACAGTGTTATTATTCTCGTTAGGACTGTGCTTTCTTATCATATTGTTGTGTTGAGCGAGCCTTTTCCTCTCTGTTTGTGTTTCCTGGCAGGGCTTTTCTTCCCTTATTGACAGTTTGTAAAAATATGCATTAATTTGGAGTTTAAAGCATGTATCATGGTGTCTCTTTGCTGTGTTTGCTTGAAGTTGATTAATGATAGAACCTCACTTGGGGTCGTCCTCTGGAGAGTTGTCTCACAGGTTCTGCATGTTAACGAGAGATGCCGCACACACAGCGAGCGATGATTAGCCCAGCCTCCGCCGGCTCGGCAGGCTGACAAACTGCTGCTTTGCTGTTCAGATGCTTATTCCGCTTATTTATCCAAAGATTGTATTAATCAACTTAATATGTCAGCTGAGAGCATTCTCTCTCGATCCCAAGACGGAAACCCTATCGAGGTGATCCTCCCAGAGTGTTTTCCCCGGGAAGTTGAGCGCTGCCTGCCCGGCGTAGCCTTCGCTTGGCTCCAGTGGCCGGCGCAGAAGTTGAGGGTCTTCTCCTTGGTGACCTGGAGCTCCTAGGCTTGGCACACCGGGTCTGAATGCCCAAACCACCTCGCCTTTCTCCCCAAACCACTCGAGCTGTCAGAACTGTTCTTTAATGAGCAACTTGCCGACTGACCGTATTTTCGTTTTTCCAGGCACCCCGTGCATGTCAAAGAAGAACCGTTAGATCCAGATGAAAATGAAGGCCCGCTATCCTTAGTGACAACAGCCAACCACAGTCCAGATTTTGATCACGACAGAGATTATGAAGATGAACCTGTAAATGAGGACATAGAATGAGTATGTCTGACATCGTTACCCTGAGAATGAAGATTGGAAGAACACGTCAAACTTAGCTGTGAAATCTCTCCATTATTGTACAGTCTGGAGGATTCTCAGTCCACTTTGACAACTATGAAATATGTTAACTCTTAGTGCCATCAAGTATCCCATTTGGGAGTATTTTTGATTTTTCTACTTTTTGTTGAAAAAAGGAATTTGTACTCTGTGCATTGGATGGACTTGTTTGGTACTTGGGATTTTCCTCTCTTACAGTCAACATCAGTGTTGTAAATTTGCTAAACTGATTCACTTGCATTTAGCAGCCAGCTGTGGACTGCAGGTCCTGCCAATTTTGGACACTTGAGGACATCAAACTGAGCATGTACACCTGAACTGCAGATCAAGTCTTTGCCCAGATTTTAAGGATTCCAATGGACAACATATTTGCACAGTACTGCATGTTGATTATCACTGCCTTTACTCCATTTTTTTTGTTTTTTGGTTTGTTTCTTTTTTTTTTTTTTTTGCTTCCATTTGGGATGGGGAAGGCCTGTGTGTGCACGTGTGTGGATATGTGTGTGTGTGCGTGTGAGCGTGTATATCGGGGAGGGGTTAAAAGAAAAAATTATCCCAAACTTTTTAATGTATTGCTTTTATTCCCCCGCCCCACTTCTCCTCTACCATTTTAAGTTCTGACCTCAGGCCTCATCTGGGCCCAGGGCCTCTCGGAGGCTTCAACGTTTTCTGTACTTTGTGATGAATGTCAATAGGTGTTTTTATTACACGAAGCTGAATGTCATTGAATCGTTTGTAGTTTTTTCTGTCATTCATTCCAGTTTCCTTCAGATGCCACCATGTTTTCTTTAGCTATGGGAAACATTCCATTTCGGTGTCTCCTTTTTTTTTGTTGTTGTTTTTTGAAAAGGTCCCAAATGCTGCACTATACATGTGGAAGGGTTGTCCAACGGAGAGAGAGGAACGAAGTACTGCAAGAATGAGAATGAATGACAGATGAACATAGAAACACTGTAGGAAGCAACACAGATTCATTCCACAAAGCAGTATTTTTAATTTTTTTTTTTTTGGTTTGGGTTTTTTGATTTATTTCTTTTTTCTTTTTTTTGGCAGCAACGGTGAATATTAGCAAATGCCACAAAATTGAACAGCACAAAGAAACATATGCAGCACCAACAGGGTTCACTTTTATTAGAGGATGAATAGTACAGTGGCAAGTTCTCGGTTGTTTAACACGAGTCCTAATGGGTCAACAAATCTTTCTGGAATATCTAAGATTACCGAGATGGGCACCTATACATTTATTATTACAATTTATTTTTTTTCTTTTTGCATTTGCATTTGCAAATAGTGGTTGGAAAGATGACTTCATTAAACTGTTATTGTACGTGGTGATGTTTCACGGTTAAACATCAGTTCAGGATTGCTTGGTGGCATTAATCTGTTTGAATACAAATTAGATTTCAGATTGAACTTGTTACGGGAGTTAATAAGGACGGAGCCCCACTAATGCTAAAGTGTTAATTTTCAGCTGTGCAAATCCAGTACTGCAGTTAAGATTGTTATGCAATATTACACCAGCCAGTATGGAAACCTCGCCGTAGGAGACAGGAGATCTAGGAGAGAATTTGCGCCGGGGCTTGTTAGGCAAAACCGGCAAGGCTCTTCAAAGCAAACATGACATACAGAATCTGTTGCGATAGGTCAGTAAACCTCGGTCACCAAACACCTAAACATTTTCATTCTGCAACCACTTTTCCGTCACTCATTTATTTATGTAGGACTGTAGCTTTTTTATTATTTCAAAAAGCCTTTCAGAGCTTAATTTATATTCTTCTTTGTACCTTTTTTTTTTCCTAAAATTACCAAAGATATTACACAAAGGTAAATTATGTTCTCTGTTATATGCTTTATCTTATGAAGCCAAATATCCTCTTATTGTTGATCAAAGGAGGTTGAAGAATTTAGAGGGAAATGACAAGATGTGGGCTATTGCTAACCTGAGAGGGAAACTGCTCCTTTATTCTAGAAAATTTAGAAGGCCAAGTAGATGTCTGAACCAAAGTTGTTACTTTTTATTTGCAATTCTTTACAGTGACCAAAATGAAAGTCTGTAAAGAGGAATCGAGGAGAGTTTTTGAGGCTAAAACTAGGAATCAGTGTTACTGGTGGAGCTATGAGAAGGGAGCTGGAGAAGGCAAAGACACTTATTTCGCAGAAAATTAGAGTATCAGATAAAGGAGGCAGTTTAATAAAATACAGAAGAGAACAGAAAAGCTCCCACAATTTAACTGGACCACATAATAGTATTTCTAGAATTAAATGAAAAAAAAATTGTTTGGTCTTTGGTTCTACAGATTGTGTGCCACTTCTGTTTCGGGACTGTGCTAGGATGGCGGCTTTAATTTTGGTTGATCTTGGCACATTTGCTCAGTTCTGTTTAGTTTTTGGTCAGCATTTTTCATAAGGAAATAACACTCCTGTCCACTCATAAGCTTTGGTACAAGAAATTTTATTGGCAGTTACTTTTATAAAACTCAACTCTGCTTTCTGTTTCAAGAGACAAAAAAAAAAAAAAAAGAAAAGAAAAAAAGGGCAGTCTGTGGTCATTTGAAACATTTTTTTTTTTCGTTTAAATTATATCCAGGCAGCTTCGTGACGTGCCGGCGGTAGCCAGATGGGGATCATGAGAATTGAGCCCTGTGCTTCTAAACTGAGTGGTTTGCTGGTTAGTTTGGTATTCAGAAGGGGATAAAAATCTGGTAGATTAGTTCATTCTCAGCATGTGTAGCTAGACATGAGTAAAGATAACAGCATGAGAAACTGTTAGTACGCATACCTCAGTCCAAACTGTTAGGGAATGAGTAAATAAAAAAATACATTTCACTCAGTTGCACTTAGTTGTATGTCTTGCATGCTTAGTCTAAAGACTGTAGCAAAAATAAAAAAAATAAAAAAAGAGAAAAAGAAATAAAAAATTAGATTTTAACACATCTGGCAGGTGTCGCAGCCTTGCAGAAGAACCAACTGAAAATCTCAGGCTTTACATCAAGCAAACTTCACTATGATTTTTACAATTCTGATTCTGTATCCCTTTGGATATACAGTTGCTTCTTTAGGGAGGGGTTTATTATGTTGTACATATATATCCCACTGTGTCACTGTGAGCCTTTGTCTTTTGGGGGGTCTTTCCCACTGTGTCTGTGTGAGCCTTTGTCTTTTGGGGGGAGGGTGGGGAGGGAGGAAAAGGTGGAAAGGTCCTTTTTTTAGATATCATTCCTCAAAAGGAATAAATGCAGACCTGTTTGTCAAAACACCTTTTGCTTTTTGTGCAACTGCTTTATATTAACTATACTAAAAAAATAGCTTTGAAAAAAAAAAACTACTGTATGTAATGGAATTGCAGAATACGCTGCACATGTATTTTATTTAGTTATCCTTGCTTTAAGAATATTGGATGACATTTGCTGACATGTGGGAGAAAATCCCTGACTTTTTTTTTTCAGCTTTTAAATTGTAACATAGTTGACAGATTTTTTTTTTCTCCTGTTATCATTGATCGAAGCATTTTTGTACAGTTTTTGTGTTTAAGCTGGTTTTTTTGATACTTTCCCACCCCTTCTGTTATCTTACCACTGCCTTTTCTGGCTGTCTTAAACAAAGGTCATATATTTGAAAGGAAAAAAAAAAAAAAAAGTCGTTTAAAAAAAAAAAATGTTTTTCTCCTGCTGCAGTAAATATTTTGCATGATGAATTCCAGGGTCACACTTTCAAAGTTTATCAGTGAAGTAGTGATTAATAATGGGGAGTGTCAAACTATTGAACTTTTGTATAAAAAAAAAAAAAAACTTTACAAGGTGCCAAGATGTAAAGACAATTTGTTACATGTTTTTTTTCTCAAAGAAAAGCGTACATTATGAAAGAGGTACCATGTATCAGGTAAATCGCTGTCAGGAATGAGAGTCAAAGCCTTCCTTGTCCACAAAAAAAAAAAAAGTTTGTAAATGTAAAACCTGTTAGGTTTCTGCATTCAACTAGAAGTGAAATGAAAAATCAAGGCTTATGTAGAATAAGTGACCACAAAAAAAATTACCTTTTTTGATTCTCACTCGCAAGAGTCCCGCTGCAGGTGCTGCACCGCTCTCCTGGAGCTCCCGCTTCGGGAAGAGACCGGAGCAGGGATTCTGGTTCTACAAAGATTGAAGATCATTAGCTATTTTATATATATGCATACATAAATATATATATATAAAGTTTTTTAAAATAATTTTGAACTATTGTAGTTTTCAGGTCGCCAATAATCTCACGTTCATTATAGCATGGGAAAAAAAAAATGTGTTTAAACTCTTTTGAAATCCTTTGGTACCTTTGGTTAATGAACTCAGAGTGAGTTTTTAGATGTTTCAGAAGTCATTTAGTATTCTAGTCTTGCGAGGTGAATTTGCAGTTAACGACTGCATTTTAATGGGCCCAGAACAGGTAACAAAGTATCTTCTACCCATAAGCCTTGATGAAAATGGTACAGTCCAGACTGTTAGCATGGTGCTTCGTGTGTATGTGCTGCCAGTAACAAGATTTTTTTTTTTTTTTTTGATAAGGCATAAAAGAAACTCATTCCTTACATCAACTGTAATTCCATCATTCCATGTCTGTTGATACAGACAATAAAAAATGTTGTGTAGTCAGTACTAATTACTGACATTATAGCATTCTCAAATGCAATAAAAATGCTGGTTGTTCACACTGGTAATGCAAGTTGCCATGTCCTAAGTTTTTGTTTTGTTTTTCCCCCCCGCCAATGACTCCCGTGTCGCATCCCCTGAGGCCCCGGGCTGGTCCATGGAGCAGCTGGTTGCATCTCACCCATGTCCCAGCACGTTCATGGACAGTCTCATCGGTCTCCTTGGGTCTCTCCCAACCACATCAAATCGCAAGATATTTTAGCGACGGTTTCACGGCCGGTCTGGACAGGGCGGTCATTTGTTGCTTGAGCACTGGAAGCGAGGAAGATGCTGTCATTCGAAGAATTAATCCACTTTTCCAAGAAAGTCCATCGGCGTTTGACCATTAGGGTGGCGGGGAGTTTGAGGGCACTTGCTTTCTCACTGGACCCCAAAGGGGAAAGCATGAAAGAAGGGGTTTGGGGCCTCATCGTGCAAATCCTTCCAAGTGCGGTGCCCTAATGGGAGCTGTGCTGCTGGCTTCGGTAGGAAGGGTTCCACGCGTATGGTACGTATGGAAAAAGGGGTTTGCAGGATCAACCGCTTGGTCCACAAAACCACGAGGAGCGAAGCCCCAAGTCGCAGTGTCACCTGGGACAAACGTTAAAGGAAAAACCCACCTTCTTTTTTTTCGAGTAAGCACACATTTAATTTCTTCATCAAGTTTTATAAAGAAAAATAAAATGTTTAATAACTAGCATTAGCAGCAAACTGAAGTTTCAGAGGAGAGATTTTTCATGAATAATTCATTAAAATTTCACATCTGCAAGATTAGTCATCCAAATAAAATGCTAATGTCAAAAACATGCACCGTCTATAATATTCTCATCAAGAAATCTTTTTGCATATAATGATAAATGCTTAAATTAGTACAAATGATTTTATAAAAATATTCTATCATAAAATTATACCAGATAACTACTTTTTTGGGGAGGGAGGGGAATCTTTGCACACTCATTATAATGTGTCTCAAAATGGTATTGACTGGTAGATTTTAATAATCAAAATACAGAGAATAAAATTTGGTTTTGATCATCTATTGCACTTTTATCACTAGTGAGATTTTAGTAAACTGGAGAGGTCCCACTTTTGGGATTAAAATTATCCTAAGTCGCAGGCGGAGGGCGTTAAGCCAGAACTTGATGTATGCTTTGTCAGGAGTGCTCTGCGTCTCTAAAGCGCGGGTGGGAGAGTCGGCTCCAGGTAGGGGAGTACGTCCCCAAATGAATCCCAGCGGGGCTCTCGGCTCCTCAGTTTGAGGACAATGTGTCCCCGTCCGGGTCACCGCGAGGGGAGCCAGGCCGGTCATGAGCGATGAAGCTATCGGAGATGACTTGGGTGTTTCACCTCCCCCGACACCTCGGCGCTGGCGTGCCCGTCGGATGCGTGAGGTGGGGGAGAGCCCACCATGTCGTTTGTCATCTGCTGACTTTCTGTGGCCTCCGATTTAAGGAGCGCTGCTGGGGTAGGTGCCAAATGCAGCTCGTGCTGCGGAACTGGCACCGAGCGGAGGAGCGGGATCAGGCCCTTCCCCTCCTGCTGAGTTACTGCTCCCCTAGCAGTGGATGAGGGCCTGGCTCTTTGCTGGACGTCGAACACAACGTTTTGTATCATCTTTGTGTTAATAATCCCATTTCTCCTGCCTGGCAGCCGTATCGTGGAACATCACGAAACGCCTTCCTACTTCACAGCGCTGCCACCAGCGACAGCCAGCTGGGAAATACCTTTTCCAGTCAGAAACGCTGTTTTCCACCACAGCTGAAAAGCACTTTTATGGGCAGTGGTGAGGCAATGTGTCTCTGAGTAGTTTCCAAAGAAAACCGGAGCCAGTGCATAGTTTTTCTCGGTTTCTCCTGTACTGGAGGGAAAAGCAGCAGAAGGAAGATAAGGGGGTCCCAGCGCAGGAGCTGGAGGCCCAGGAGGACGCGGCAGCCGACGTGCTCCGTGCACGCCCAGCTGCTCTCTGCAGATGATCTGAACGGTGACATTTAACTTGGGCCGTGATCACAGAGTATGACAAATTTCACATTATTGGACTAATTTAAGGGACTGGCCTCATATTGCCACGTTGGTGGCAACAAACCGCCGCCCCCCCCCCCCCCCCCCACTCCCCTTCTTCTACCCCCCCCCACCCGCCATATTCTCACGTTTGCCGCTTTCCAGCGCCGACTCCTCCTCTCCTGATACCTTCGAAGCACGTGAGCTAGAAATGGTAAACAACATCACCTTGGGGTATTTAACAAAAAATAGCTCCTCCTCCCTTTTTATTCCACAGGAAATTTCTCTGTCTATCTGGAGGAAAAGAAAAAAAAAAAAAACCACTTTGTGGGGTTTTGTATGTATTTATTTAGAGGCGTTCAGTGGCTGGGTTTTATGCATCTCAGAAGCCTGAAAAACATTTTTTTTCTTCAAGTTGTAATGTTAATTTGAAGGTAACCGTCCTTTCAAGGATTAATTCCAGCCAAAGCAATAACCATTATTTACCAGAGTTTGACATTTTTATCACTCATCATATTAGCAAATTTCCATTGAAAATGCTAAAATGGTTCGTCATAAGGCACATAACTGCTTTGGCTGTAAAAATGACCAACACAAGTGCCTGTACTCAAACATTAAATTATACTGTAATTAATAAAGACAGTTAAACTGTCTACTAGCAACAGCAATTTAGGTAACCACATTTGATCGGCTATAAATTGTAACTACATTAAAATTCCAGAAATATTAGCAATATGGATTACTTGATGGAAATAGGTGCTGATCACCAACACTCCTATTTTACAACGGAAGCACAGGTCATGTTGGCCACAAAACTGTGGGCGAAGATCAAGGCTGAGTACTTTTAATCTTGTGAAACAAGCAATTACAAATAGTTGCATCGATTTGTTAAAAAGCTTTAGGTGACATAAATTGTTTCCTGTTTAGCTTATTGCTCTGATACATAAATGTCACTGAGTATAATATTAATTAGGGTCACAGAACAACAAGGGTCGGGTGATACGGTGTACGATCAAGGATGTGTCAATCCTTTGTGAAGGCAAGAAAAGCTCCGGCCCCTTTGTGCTGCAGCGCTCGACGCCTAATTTTATGTGATGACAAAAGAAAGTAAAGGAAACCGTATTTTAATATGTGAAGTAATTACTTTAGTACTAGTATAATTTTATGGTTTAGGCTAAATTACAATGTTTTCATTCTCCTGCTCTTGCCACATAACATA